TATATATATATATATATATATAAAGGAGACAGTATAAAAAAAAAAAGTAAATAAAAAAAAATAAATAAAAAAAAAAAAAGGAGACACTTACTTGTTGTTGTTTTTGTGCCTCTGGTGTTGCATATTTATTGACAATAATTTGTTTTTTCTTCTCTAATAATAAACGACTAATTTCTGCATCTGTAGGTAGATCAACATACACCTGAAATTTCTTGCTGCTGCTGCTGCTGCTGCTGCTGCTGCTGCTTTCCTGTTGCAGTAAAGAAGAGACACACACACACATATATAAACAATTATTATTAGATTGCTTCCTGCTGCTGCTGCTGCTGTTGTTGTTTGTGTTGTTGGCTGCTGCTGTAGCTGCTGCTGCTGCTGCTGCTGTTGCTGCTGCTGCTGCTGCTGGTGTTTGGCTTACTTCTGTGTCTTGTTTGTGTTTGCCTCTTTGTGCTTTCCTTGCTGCAGCAGCAGCCATTCCTTTAGCAACATCTGCTGCTGATGCTGCACCAACCTTCTGCAGTAGTTGCTCTTCTTGCTGCTGCTGCTGCTGCAGTTCCTGCTGCTGCTCCTGTTGCCACAGCTGCTCTTGGTGCTGCTCTGCCAGCAGCAAATCTTCATTTTCCTGCAGCAGCAGCAGCAGCAGCAGCAGCAGCAGACACAAAGAAGGAAAAACGGTGTATATTCATCTGCATTTACTGCAACACTGTATGGGGCATCTCACACACCACCAGCAGCAGCAGCAGCAACAGCAGCAACAGCAACAGCAGCAGCAGCAGCAGCAGCAGCAGCAGCAGCAGCAGCAGGAATTATTTACCTCATCCCTCCATCCAAAGTAGTCAGGAGTAATTCTCTTAAAGAGTTGTGCGCGACTCTTTCTTGGCTCATTTACCTCCTCAGCATTTGCAGCAAATAATTCTCTTACTCCCTAATAAGAGCAGCAGCAGCAGCAGCAGCAGCAGCAGCAGCAGCAGCAGCAGCAGCAGCAACAGCAGCAACAGAAAGAGAAAGAATTAAGAATTAAAATAAATGCCGTAGATATATCATATGTAACTAACGCAAGGGAAAAAAAGATACAACAGCAACAACAGCAGCAGCAACAGCAGCAACAGCAGCAACAGCAGCAACAGCAGCAGCAGCAGCAGCTTACAGGTAATTCTTTAGCTGCACCGAAGTAATAATAGTCTCCTCCTGATGCAGCAATGCCGCTAAGAGAAAGAGCATCAGAGGCTGTTGAGTAATCAGGTCCCCCTAACTGCAGCAGCAGCAGCAGCAGCAACAACAGCAACAGCAGCAACAGCAGCAACAGCAGCAACAGCAGCAGCAACAGCAAAGACACATAATAAACCATTATTATTAACATATTCCTTCTCCTTCTGCACCATATTGCATGCAAACGATGTATTCAACAACAACAACAGCAGCAACACCAACAGCAACAGCAGCAGCAACAGCAGCAGCAGCAGCAACAACAGGAGCAACAACAGTAATGCCACAGAACAACAACCCCACCATAACCACCACCAACAATCACCACCACCACCACTATAACCACCACAATAACCACCATAACCACCATAACCACCACCATCACCACCACCATAACCACCAGCAGCAACAGCAGCAGCAACAGCAGCAGCAGCAGCAGCAGCAGCAAAAAGAATATACCTCCTTAATCCTAAATTCCCATCTTTTTTTTTGTTTAATTTTTTTATTAATTTGATCATTTAGATCTCTTATTCTATGATCACCTAATGATGAATCTTGTATTAAGGATATACCTCTACCTATTTCTCTTATTAATTGTTGTCTCCTGTATATATACATATACATAAATATAAATATAAATATATTAATATATATATTATTTATTTATTTTATTTATTTATTTATCTATTTATTTATATATTTATTTATATATTTAGCTCTTATTTATTTATTAATGATATACCTCTACCTATTTCTCTTATTAATTGTTGTCTCTTGTATATATATAAATATAAATAAATATATATATTATTAATTATATTTATTTATTTAATTAATTTATTTATTTATTTATTTATTTAATTTATTTATTTATTTATTTATTTATTTATTGATGTATTTATTATCTATATATATTAAGGATATACAATAAATTACTAACATATAAACACTAAAATAACAGGACCAACCCCACCACCACAACCACCAGCAGCAGCAGCAGCAGCAGCAGCAGCAGCAACAGCAGCAGCAGCAGCAGCAGGAGGAGGAGGAGTACTTACCATTGTGTAGCTCTATCTAGATCATCACATTCCTCAGGTATACAAGGACCTAATTGTATATTTTTTTTTGCTCCTTTTATTACTGCATTCTTTACAGCTAACCATTTATTTAATACAGCATTTGCTCTTTCTGCATTACGTGCCATTTTTGCTGCTGCTGCTGCTGCTGCTGCTGCTGCTGCTGCTGTTGTTGTTGTTGTTGCTGTTGCTGCTGCTGTTGTGGTGGTGCACTGCTGCTGCTCCTCCTGTTGTGCTGCTCTTCGTGATTGTCAGGGTTATAAAGACTGTACTACTAATTGAGGGAGGTTAAGGGAATGGATGGCAAATGCTGCTGCTGCTGCTGCTGCTGCTGCTGCTGCTGTTGTTGCTGCTGCTGCTGTTGTTATTGATACAGACAATCTGATAAAGGAGAAACAATCTCTATACAGATGATGATAGGGAACAATGAGGCAGTTTTCCTGCTGCTCCTGCTGCTGCTGCTGCTGCTGTCGTGCCCTGTGCTGTAAGCAGCTATTCTTATTGCTGCTGCTGCAGCTGCTGTATCCTATTGGATAAAGAGAGAGGCATAAGAATGCATGCAAAAAGAAGGATTAAATGCAGCAGCAGCAGCAGCTGCTGCTGCTATTCCGTCTGCTGCGGTTGTTCGTGCTGCAGAAAAAATATTCACAGAGTTGCTGCTGTGCTGTCGCTGCTGCTGCTGCTGCTGCTGCTGCTGCTGCTGGTTACTAATTGAACTCCTAAAAATGTTTCCTTATAACAAAAAAATAATCATCTATTAAAGAAATGCAGCAAAAACAATGCATAGAACTGCAGCAGCAGCAGCAGCTGCTGCTGCTGCTGCTGCTGTTGTTGTTGTTGAATTCTATGGGGCTTTGCATGCGCCGGGGGGCCCCTTGTAGGCGTGCAGCAGCAGCAGCAGCAATAACAGCACCAGCAACAGACAGCATTTTCTGCTTATTTTTAGATTTAATAATTTATTTATATAAATTCAATTAGAAAAGGTTCTTTTTTTGTGTTGGTTTTATTCATTTGTCTGCTCCTTGCTGCTGTTGTTGCTGCTGCTGTTGCTGTTGCTGCTACACCTTGTTGCTGCTCGTCTGCAAAACTACAATTAAATATACTATTTAATTTAACTAATTTAACTAGTTAATTTAATTTAATTTAATTAATTTAATTAACTATAATTAATTCAATTGTTATTTTCCTTCTTTTAGTGTCGCCTAAGAACCTACCAGCGTATACACCTGAACCCCCCCCAATAGATAATTAGGGTTTAGGGTTTAGGGTTTAGGGTTTAGGGTTAGGGTTTAGTGTTTATTGTTTAGAAGAATAATTTATATCTGTATTTTGCATATCTTTTTTATTCTTGTACTTAAATAATTCATTTTATTTTTATTTGTTTTTTCTTCCCTTTTTATTATATATTAACTGCCTATACACCCCAAGAGTTAATCACTTTTTTTCTGTATTATATATACTAAGAATATTTAACTAAATATAATTAAAAATAATTAGTTAATTAACGTTTTATTAATAAGAGGCAGAAAAAAATAAACACAAGACAGCCCATGGCAGCAGCAAGAAGGAAAGGAGCACCACCTCCTCTTTATTTATGTTATACTAATGCAGCCTATTAATTCGCTGTAGGCAACAAAGTCGAGCCAAAGGCAGACAGAATCAGCAGCAGCAGCAGCAGAAGCAGAAGCAGCAGCAGCGCCAGGAGGCCCAACATCGCGAGGGGCCCTGGGGGCCCCCCTCTTCCTACTACAGCAGCAGGGAATGCGAATATCATCATACAAGGAATACAACTACACAAATAAAAAAATAAATAAATAAATAAATAAATAAATAAATAAATGTATACTGTGCAAACAAACCAACAAGGGAAGATAGTGCACTGCAGAACAACCCCACCATATAACACGAGAAAGCAGAGGCACAGAGCATACGTACAGTAGCGGAGCAAGCAAGCAAAGAGGAAAACAGAGCAAAAAAATGTCTGCATGCAGCAAATAACGACTGTTGTGTATGCATGCATGCGCAGCTAGGCACTGTCCTCCACAGAATGTATCGAAGCTCGCAGCTCCCAGCACTAGTGCAGATGCGCACCAACACAAAGACGGGAGGACCAAGGTGGGTTAATCTCCCACCCACGAATAAGCCAAGGAGTGAATCTCCCCCTCCCTCCCCCTTCCCCCCCCGGCTGCATGCATGCATAAAGAGGAGCACAAAAGGAATACTTTATGTAGCTAGGTGTCTTAATTAATTAATTCCTTCATAGGAATAAGTGTACTCACTAATCTGGTTTAGTCCTGCACGCATGCATGCATGAATGCATGCATGAATGCATGCATGAATGCATGCATGCATGCAACTCCTACTGTAAGAAGAGGAAACAGGTCCCTTATACTCATGAGACTCCTCACCATACAAGACAGGCAGTAGCTGTTACGCAACACGTCATGCACGCATGCAAGTTGGGCTGTACATGCAGGTCTATTGATGCATGCAGGTTATGCATGCATGCGTATGCTTGCTTGTTGCCCTGTGTGTGTTGCTGAGTCCAAGGAAAAGGATTAAGAGGAAGCAACTAACTAAGCTTGCTGCTGATTGACAGTAGTCATGGGTACTAGTAGACCAACTAGCTGACTTGGCTAGATTGGCTGCCTGCTAGTTGCACGTATTATGCTAGTTGAGCTTAGTTAAGACTAGCTAGCCACGTGTATAAGCATTTGCCTGCCTCCATGCGCACCTATCTGTGCGTCTGTCGGTAGGCAACTGCTTATATACGTGTAGGCAGGAGCAGGAGCAGCAGCAGCAGCCGTACCCCGCGCTATATAAGGAGATCGTGAGTATATCCATAGGCTGAACCTTTTCTGGTCACAGGGTATTGACGAAATTGTGCAGAACAGGCGCAGAAAGTAGCATACTACCTAATGCCTATTCTTAGAGGGAAGACTTGCAACAGAGGTTCGCTAATCCAGTGCAGCAAATCACTGTGCTACTAGTTGTTACCCAAAGGTGAGCGTACATGGGGTTCGCCAGTCCAGTCCAGCTAATCACTGGGTAACAACTAGCGCAGCAACTAGCGCAAAGGTGCGCGTACATGGGGTTCGTCAATCCAGTGCAGCTAATCATTGTGCTACTAGTTGTTACCTAAAGGTGCGCGTACATGATAAGCACCATCGTAGGTGCTGATGGGACACAACAGGCCAGAGACGCGACAACCATTGTGTCTTGTTGTCAGCTGTCTGGTACCCGTTAAGTCTGAATTCGTGTTGGACTGCATGGAGGTCCATTAGTTCAAGCCATAGTCACATCTACAAGAATATATAGCATATATAAATATAATGTGCAAGTATATAAGTTTTTTATTCTCTTAATTGTCTAGTAAGAGAATAAGACTTATAGACTTGCACTGATTAGCCTCGAGGAGGATGCGAGGGAGGGAGATCCAACTCCCAGCATGGTAGGCTTGTTGTTGTATATTAGCTTCTATTAGTGTGTCTAGTAACTTAATATGTATTAGTAAGAGGACGACCTCTTCCTCTTGCTCTCCCTTGTGCCTATTCCTGCCATTTGCAAACCTATGCATGCATGCAGAGTTCAAGAAGATATAGTTTATTCAATTACTTGACCATCATCAGCCCCAACCTAGCTGATGGATTTGTTGCGGCGACGCGGTGATGTTTATCTGCAATAAATGCAACAAAAAAACGCATTGTTGTGCAGTAGCAGAGATGCTACTGTTTATATAATGCCTTTTATTAATCATTTCTCTCCTAAGTCAGCAAGCAAGACGTTGTTGTGCTTTGGTGCATGTGTATGCAGTTGTCATTAGTTCCTCCATTAATTCATTAATTTAATTTTGTGAATAAATATACTTTGCATGAATAATACCAATGAAATATACTTCGTTATCCATGGCTGCAACCACATAAGTGGTAAGCTGTGCTCGTCCGGTGGTCTGATGGCACATTTGTACAAGGTGGTGACGCCGTCCCAGCATTACGCATAATCCATTGTTGCTAATGCTGTTGCTTATTCAATTTATTTGCTGTCGTGTGTGTTTACAGACCCAATTAAGGCAAATTGAAGGCATCAGAAATAGGAGAAGGGGAGGATCCATCGCTTTTTGTCTGTGAAGGCGGAGGTAAGGACAATGTAAAGGTTGTGCTGCATAGTAGCACGCGTCGGACTTAGGCGTG